GGACATGGAAGACTGTTTTTATTCCATCTCTGGCTTGTGTTTCCTTTAACAATATGGACAAAAGTTTCCTGCAGCTGATGCAAAGATCTAAGAAAGTTTGAAGTGAAGAGTAAAATGTTCGACAGTTTARTTAGTCAACCGCTTCGGCTTTCACTTCCTGTATTTTCACGATGCGCTCATCAAGTTTTACACCTCATCAAACCTCACAGGAGTCCTGCAGCAGCYCGTCCACCCCACCCTCTCTGACGCCCCACCCCGTCTAGCCCCTCCTGCCAGCTGCRGTGACTCATCGCCCACAAACTGCAATTACAGCAGCAGCAACACAAACACTCCTCAGCCCTGACTCGGGTCTGTTTACTGTAAAGTCCGAGCTCCACACCTTCTCCTTACTGGAGATAAAACTTTGTGATCGAGTGTCAGATTTACACACACACACACAAAYACACAACTCCTTTCATTTATCCTGCAGGAGCACATGAAGGGGTGTGCTCCAGAAAGCAGCTTTAATACACAGAGAGCGCCCTCTGGASGCAGCCTTCAATCACTACAGCTCTGAACTAACCAGACTTCACTGGCTTGTGATGAGGGATCAGAAGCAAATRATGCACAAAGAGTTTGTGATATTTTCACTAGAAGAGTTATTATTAGACAATTTGTCCACACTCCTAATGCCCACTTTTGTCAAACCTATTTAACATGACCCTTAAATAATTGTACAATTGATAGTTTTATAAATATCTACGATTAAAGTTTGTGTTCTGCACAGTGGATCATCTGCCTCCATCTCACCCTATCCCAGCATCCTCCTCTGTCACTCCAGCTAGGACTGCCACCATCAACTCTTCTTATTTCAATTAACCAACTGACCAATGTTCCTCCAAAGACAAATTCAGCATTTCAGAATGCCACACAGAGATTAATAGAGACTTATAAAGTACAATATAAAGTTAAGTGCCAACTCCAGCATGGAAATAACAAAATAAATGCAGTTAAACAATAAAAAGTCCTGAATATTCAGCATGCAGTGATGAAATGATTGATATRAACAACAGAAAACTGTAAAAAAGATCTTTATGAGCAAGCACAGGTTAAATTACATGGCTTTGCCTGGTAAAATAAAAGAGAGAGAGAGAAGCGAGGCCAATAAAACAATTTAAAATGCTATTTTAGCAATAAAACTGCAGCATAGACAAATTGTCTTTTCACTAAGCTTATCTTTTCATATATTTGTGATTGTTTTAATGAATTGTATTATTATAAACAATTTGAAAACAATCTTTGTATTAGCATTTTATTTATACCATAAAACAATAAAGGTTAAGAATAAAATGAATCAAAGCTTGCACCTGCACGACATTTCTAATCATGATTCTAACCTAAAAGTTTCTTCAAACATTTRTTCAGTTGAAAATAAAGCAGGTGGCTTTTTCCTGACAGCTCGTCACAGCTGCTGTTGCTGCTGTTAAGCCAAACAAAAAATCCTTGTACAAAWCCCAAACTGCTGTTTTATTGTCAGCTGGCAGGAAGAACTTCCATACTTTAGACATGCCGTCATTAAAAAAGACACAAAYGTTACAATTCAGTCATTTCAGTCAAATGCTGCATTAAAAAAGGCGCAATCATGTTTGTTTTGTTATGTTCACCCAGCTGCTTTTCATACAGATAAATAGAAATCTAACCATTATCCAGGCGTAATTACAGTTGTCTCAGCTGGTAATTAGGGTTTCATATTCAGCTTTTGTGGAATTAACCATTCATGTTTAAAATAGYTTTGGTTGTGTGCAAGTTACCATTGTGAGAAGAACAATAGAGGCAGAACATGTTTCATCCATTAGAGCAACTTTTCATTGTTTTTACACATCRGAACAGGTTTGAACATTTAAAAAGTAACCTTTTTAAAATGGCTGCGTTCTAATTGGTTTGTGTTTACTAAGGTCAGCTCCTCATAAATCAGGTTGACTCTAAAGTGTATCAGATGTAGGTGAACATCTACTGATGGTTTTATCAAAGATGAATTACATATGTCCAGTAGTTCATGTTATTTGCTAACAGATTAACACACATAGGCATAATTAGATCCAGTGAATATAACACCAGTGTTGTGGTGAGTTGCTGCCACCTTGAATTCTGAACTCTCCCRCCTTCTGACAGGAAATTCCCACCAGATGGAAGTCTCAGTTTAAATTTAATGACTTGCAAGTGGGAAATTCCCACCTTAGAGTACAACTGGGCTACAGTACAAGTAGCCAACAAAAATGCAACAAAATGGAGATTTTGCAATTCCACATTTTGTAAGTAAAATAATCAACATGCATTATTGGTGATGTAGTTAATGGTCAATACTGGCAGCATATACTTAGTTTAAAACAATAATGCATCCTTGAAGCTCTCACAGGGCACAAAATCTCATGGTAGGCCACATTTKGCCCATGGGYCTTTAGTTAGACATGTGATGTAGGTTGTGAGTAATATGCTGTGTGTAAAATCAGACATTAGTTTTCTTAAAATTAGGGATATATCAGCATTAACAKCAGTATGGACCAATATTAGTAATAKTTTAGAAAATCAGTATTGGTCTGATAAGAAAAACTGGGCTGATATTAATGTCYGACATTGTTTTTCCACTTTTTATCTTTKTGYTTGTGTTTTGTGGRAAAAGTGTCCACATGATGATCCAACAGCTTCCTTTAGCAGCAGTAACTCTTCATGAGGCTTTTCTGTAATACTTTGTCAGTGTCTCACTTGGTTAAAAGGGAGTTTTGGCCRACTCTTTTTGAGGTTTGTAGACGTCCATTTCTACAGTTCTCTAAAGGTCCCACTCTTTTTCAGCCAGTTCTTTCTGTTGCAGATTTGCTGCTGTGGTTTTGTTACACCCTGGTCTAGTAAAGTCCAAGTTTTTACTACTACAGCTGTCCTCACATCTGACTCTGGAATACTTTAGTCTGCAGAGAAGTTCACGATGGACTCTATGACTGCAARGTGTCCAGGTCCTGTAGCTGCAAAACAGAGCCAAACCATCAGCCCTCCACCACCGTGCAGAGTGTTGGTGTTTGGTTTTTTGCCAACACGCTGCTGTGCTTCACAATCCTCACATCTGACCAAAGTACACAATTCCAGAAGCTCTGTGGTGTGTTGAGATAAACTTTCACACATCTAAGCTGTGCTGCCATGTTCTACTTTTAAGAACGAAAATGCAACCATTAAAAATAAATGACACTTGTTCGGTTCTTCTATTCACAAATCAACAAAAGATTAAAGTCTCAGAACAGATATTTTAGTTCTGAAGTGATGCTGAAGTATAAAATGTAAAACATGAAACAGCTTTAAAACAAAAATCTGTGAAAATTATTATTTTTCTTTATAGTGGAAGTTTAGGTTTTCATTTTTTCACACAAAGTATTTTGAGGCACATTTTTTCTTAATGCTCTGAACATAGCTAGTGATTGATTAAAACCTTTGGYCAAATCATACTATTTAAGAATAAAAGTGTGTATATTGTTTTTCTTTTTTGAATTTGATTTTGGAAGTGCTGTGAGTCTATGTTGACATTGTTTGTGTCCCCCCAGGAGACACAGGATCCCTCTGCTGTGCTGTGGCTGGATGAGATCCAGGATGGTATTTTAAGGTCRAACCAGAATACAAAGGATGCCTTACAGTGTAAGAGTACACACATGYTTCTGCCTGGCTCTGTTGCTTCTGTCAGGCAGACTAAAGGTTGATGTTTGTATCTGCAGTCTCTCAGTCCATCCAGGCCATTAATGAGGCAGTGGAAGGTGGAGATGCAGCTCAGACTCTGGCTGCTCTGCGTAATCCTGGAGCAGGACTTTATGGCGTCACTCAGGAGTGTGCTCAGACCTATCAGGACGACTTGGCCAAAATTAAAGAGGACAAAAAGAAAGAAGGTAAGAAGAAATCKGAGATTTTTATTTCTTTATTGTGACCAGAAACAATAGCTGAAGATAAAGTCCAGGAGATGAAATCCCAAAACAAACAAGTTAAGCTTCAACAACAAAACATTACTTGRCTCTCTTCAGACCATAACAGACACACCTTTATCCGCACCTGCACAGGTGCAGGCAGTTGTAACAGAAGCTCACACACCGCTCAGAAACTCATCCCCCATTCTAAAGAGGTCCAGGAATCCTTAAATGACAAAACTACTCTCATTTTGTCTTAGCTGAGGGGTCAAAGGTTAATATTTTTTACAYAGAAAAATGAGATTCTAACTAGTTTTAAATAAAACTTAACATTTTATATAACAAGATTGACAAAAATCTGCTTAAATCTCTTGATTAAACTCAGATTAAACTTWGTGTTTTGCTCTGTTGATGCTTGACAGCAGGAAGAGAGGAACAGTTTCTTTTTTTRTTGACTGTTACATAATATTTCAGATCAGCTTTTTGTTCTTTGAAGATTCTTTTTGAGCAGCAGTGGGTGGGTGGGGGTGTCTTTGTATGCATCATTTCTCAGAACACTCTACTAAACAATAAATATTAACAACTACTACTATTAAAAATTRGAAYTGGAATTAGAAAGATTAKGCCAAGTTTACACTGCAAGATAAATRTGTCAATTTTTGGTCTGGTTTTGCCCTCCTGATARTCTKAAGGATGCTCAGATTATCATGATGGCTCTMAAGATAATCTGAGCAGATATTTCTGACGTGTGGTGTGTTCAGGGTGATCTAGTTGGCTCATAAGTACGTCAGGACCCCTCTGACCTCAAATCATGGATATTCAACATGTTGGATTTTCTTGGCCCGATATCCCAGCATGTGAGGTGTTCCCCGAGGACAAACAAGCTCACAGCCTGTTTGTTGAATGTGACGTGAAGCCAATAGGGCTGCCACAATTAGTCGACTAATTGACAACTAATTAGTCAGGGTTTTTTTTGGGGGGGGGGATTGTTCTCTCCAAACTGCTTTGACACCTTCCACTGCTGCATCTGCCTTTCTGTCCTTGACACACATGCACAGTATTGGTAACTGGGGTAGACCGTGAACGTCACAAGACATTACAGACAGGCTCTGGTATCATGGCTCAGAAGTGTGGGATCATTTTAAGAAAATGAAAGAGAAACCTGTGCAATATCTGCAAGGCAGAACTTGCCTTCCACAGCAATTATTTTTAGTTAGTATATAGCTAACGATGGTTATGTAATAGCAGCTGCATTCTGGAGGGATAAGCTGTATGTTTTATATTCAATTAACGTATGATACAATTAGTCGACCAATCAAAAAAAAATAATCAGTGATTTGTTGACTATAAACATAATCGTGTGTGGCAGCCCTAGTAGCCAATCAGAAAGTGAGGTGATGGAAACATGGAGGGGAATCTAAAGTACAGGACGTCGTGTGGACGTTGAAGATGCTTCCTGTTTTTTTTTTTCACATTTGATCTCAATAGGTCTTGTGAGATTTCCCATCTGCCATCTAAATGTTTGAGTGAAATCTGTTGGTGTGTTGTCTTTGCTGTGTACCTGCACAACACACACTATAGGACCAAACCTGTTAGATCTATGATTTTTTTATTATCATGTATGGGGTCTCTCAGTTTTTGAAAATCAACCAACAATATAAAAATCTTGCTGTGTGAACCAGGCAGCATCACTGGCACATCCTTTAATTAATAATTAAGTTTATATCATCTCTTTGGCCTCACTCRGCAAACTCAAATCAAAACACATTTATTTCTAGCCATTACTGGTGTTCATTGGTGTCTGCTTCACCTTGGTAATATCATAAGACCATAAATCCAGTATCAATGTTCATTGCTATGCAGACGACACCAGATTCTACATGTCTTCTAAGCCCACATCCACCTTTCTGCTAACGCTCTATCACCATATGTATGCATTAGCTCTAGGTTCTGCTTTATTTTGTAAAGAGACATTTGGTGTTTTGAAAAGAGCTTTTAAWTAAAATTTATAATAATATAACATTATCAACAACCTAATATTATTTATCATTGTCTATTAACAATATTTCCACTAAAGTCTAATCTACTTCAAATGGTCTTTTTAAAAATGGRAACCCATGTGTGACTGAGAAAAGTATAATAAATCRGTTAAATGTGTCTGCCCAGGAGAYAATGGCAGTGACTGGGTGCAGCACTGGGTGAAAGGAGGACACAACTATTTCTACAACCTGCAGACCAAGGAGGGCACGTGGGTGCAACCAGAGGGCTTTGTACCAAACAACACCCAGCTTAACAAAGAGGACATCCAGGTCAGAGTCCCCTCCTGGGCTTCTTCAGCTTCATTTTTGTTTTTTTTTTTTTCTTTTAAAACCACATTAATGCCTTTATTCTCTTTACCAGGGGGTGGTTTCTGGGGTAACCACAGCTTACAACCGAGAACAGCTCTGGTTGGCCAATGAGACTCTAATCACAAARCTTCAGGCTCGTTGTCGAGGTTACATGGTTAGAAAAGGCCTGAAGGAGAGGATGGACTTCCTGAAATCCCAAGACCCAGCTGTCACACGCATACAGGTGAGCTGGTGTTTAAAGCCACTTCTCTGACATTAAATATGAAGACGAACATGAGTCTGACAGAATGAACGTCTCCTCAGGCCCACTGGAAAGGTTACCAACAGAGGAAGGCCTTTAAAGAGCGCAAGGATTACCTGAAAGATCACACCGAAGAGGCTGTGAAGGTATATCTGTAAAGCTTTTTTATTAGAACAACAGAAACTGGCTTCATCAGATCATGATCTCCAGCTCTCACTGGAGCAGTTCACAGCTGAGGGTGAAGCAGCCGGGATGAGGATCAGTTCCTCCAAATCCCAGACCATGGTCTTGAACCGGAAACTGGTAGGTTGCCGCCTCCAGGAGGAGGTCCTGCCCCAAGTGGAGGAGTTTAAGTATCTTGGGGTCTTGTTCATGAATGAGGGAAGCATGGAGCGGGAGATCGACAGGCAGATTGGTGCTGTGTCTGCAGTGATGCGGGCGCTGTACTGGTCTGTCGGTGAAGAGAGAGCTGAGCCAGAAGGCAAAGCTCTCGGTTTACCGGTCGATCTATGTTCCTACCCTCATCTATGGTCACAAACTTTGGTTAGTGATCGAAAGAACAAGATCGCGGATACAAGCAGCTGAAATGAGTTTCCTCTGCAGGGTGTCTGGGCTCTCCCTTAGAGATAGGTTGAGAAGCTCAGTCATCCAGGAGGGACTCAGAGTAGAGTCGCTGCTCCTCCACGTCGAGAGGAGCCAGTTGAGGTGGTTCATCTGGTTGGGATGCCTCCTGGACACCTCCTTGGTGAGGTGTTCCGGGCATGTCCCACTGGGAGGAGACCCAGAGGAAGATCCAGGACACGCTGGAGGGACTATGTTTCTCAGCTGACCTGGAAACGCCTTGGGATTCCCCCAGACGAGCTGGTCCAAGTGGCTGGGGAGAGGGAGGTCTGGGTCTCTCTGCTCAGGCTGCTGCTCCCAGGACCCAACCCCAGATAAGAGGAAGAAAACGGATGGACAAAAATAAGTTGCAGTAAAGATGAACAGACTTGTGTTTTTCTCAGATCCAGTCCATGGTTCGCATGCATCAAGCTCGTAAGAAGTACAGGGATCGTCTCAAGTACTTTGAAGATCATGTGAGTTGTGTGTCTTATCACATACACATACTGTGATGTCATTTTCTCTTTTACTTAATGTAGATTTGTTAGGAACTAATGAAGTGTATTGATCATCCAAGTGAATGTTTCTTACCTCAGATCGATGACGTGGTKAAGATTCAAGCTTTCATTCGAGCCAACAAAGCYAGGGATGACTACAAGACTCTAAGTAAGGCTTCTGCTCTGTTCCAACAGTCTTTCAGAGTTGTGTTGAAATTACATGACGGCAATGTGATATTTCTGTAGTCAGCGCTGAGGACCCGCCCATGGCCGTGGTGCGGAAGTTCGTCCACCTGCTGGACCACAGCGATCAGGACTTCCAGGAGGAGCTGGAGCTGATGAGGCTCCGTGAGGAGGTGGTCACAAACATCCGCTCCAACCAGCAGCTGGAGAATGACCTGAACCTGATGGACATCAAGATCGGCCTGCTGGTGAAGAACAAGATCACCCTGCAGGAGGTGGTGTCCCACAGCAAGAAGCTGACCAAGAAGAACAAGAGYCAGCTGTCAGACATGATGATGATGAACAAGCAGAGGGGGGGCCTGAAGGCTCTCAGCAAGGAGAAAAGGGTCAAGCTGGAGGCCTAYCAGCACCTCTTTTACCTTTTACAGGTAAAAATACTTTGCTTAAATGTTTTTGTGGAAACTTTTTAAGTCRTATTTTATTGCAGACACACGTCTACATGTTGGTGTAGATCCTCAGTTGTCCAGGACGTGGTGATTGTAAAAGATTTTTAAAAAGCACCTGCACTTTATAGATGAAGCACAAAGTCATAAAGTCACTTTTCCATCTGATAATTTCTCTAAATGTTTGTTTTCCTTTCAGACCAACCCAACGTATCTGGCCAAGCTGATCTTCCAGATGCCACAGAATAAATCCACAAAGTTCATGGATTCTGTCATCTTCACTCTGTATAACTACGCCTCAAACCAGAGAGAGGAGTACCTGCTTCTCCGACTGTTCAAGACCGCTCTGCAGGAGGAGATCAAGTGAGAAATGATCMTCATTCATGATCAGTCAGTTTTAAAAGAGCTGGTTTCTAAACACGYTAGTGTAGCACATGTGTAGCTCCTGGTGAAGGTTCTCAGTCTTTCAGGGCGTGGTACTCCTGGTGGGTAAAAACAGAGGCAGCTCATTTTTAAACTGTCCAAAAAGAMAAAGTCAAGTTTGCATTTCTCTTGTGCTTTTCTTAAAATATCATTCAACAAACAGAAGGTTTTGACACACAGTTTTATTACCCGAATAATTTATCAGTGATCCACAATTTAAAGCAAATTTAAAAAAACATTGTCCATCAAGAGATTTTGTGCTCTTTTTACTTCATGTTTTGGTCCCGTTACACCACAGTTTCTACAAAGATCAGTTTTAAAAAAGAGAACAATCCTAAAG